TTAAATATATATTACTAAATTATATTATTTTGCTAAATTATATTACCTTATCAAATTATATATGTTTTGATAAAATTTTATATATTGTATTTGTAATTTAAAAGAATAATAGTTAAATATTTATAAAAATCTTATTGATTTGAAATCTTATATTTAAATAAAATAAATTGGCTAAAAATATTATAAATAAGAACTATATATTCACATCTAATCAGAACCTGATATTTTCAAATTAACAGGTTTAAACCATTAAATAAAAGTCAAATTATATTTTACCATATTATTCGATAAGTTAATTAAATAAGTAAAAAAAAATTGAATCTGTTCTGGATATAAATCGACACTTCTATCATAATTCACAAATCAGACTAAAACAAATAAACTTTTTATATTTCGTGATGATATAATGGAATCAAAGATTTCACTTCCAATTCTGCATCTTCTATATTGATTAGCTCTATTTTGAACAATTGTTGAATTATTATTAATATCTTCAATAAATAGCCTTTGAAAGTTATGATTTTATAAGAAGTTTTATAATATTTAACTAATAAATCCAAGATTTTGGAAGATACAATTAAATTTAATTTTTCAAAATACAATAGTTTGCCAGGAAATTGTTTGGATCTATTGATAACCATCTCTTGAATATTATATATATTGTTTAAAAATCAGTATAGTTTGTCTATCAAAAATTAATCCAATTTTGAAATTGATCTAATATTTAATTAATTATTTAAGATTTTGAGTTCTATATTATTATAATAGGATGTGATTAGATTAATAATTTAGTAATTATTCACCAATTTTCATATTAATTCAGGCTTAATATTTTAATAACTATTAGACAATAATTCTAAATTTAAAATTTGTTAGAATATTATTTTACAAATATAATTATAAAAAAATCAGTCTAACAAACTATTTATTTGTTCAAATAAAAAATATCAAAAAGTATATAATAGCTCATAATCATACATGCATTCATATAGATATAAAGAAAGATAAAGGTTTAGTATAATTTTTTCTTCACTATATTTTTGCTCAATTAATTTAATCATTGTTATTAATCTTTTGTAAGCTTCATTTAATAATTCTCATTTTATAATTTGGCATAATAATATTTGACATATTTTAACAAAATTAATTAATATTTAACAATTAATTTCTGAAAAATATTTTCATAAAACAATAGTCACATATATTGTAAAAAAATTCCTCCATTGGTTGGCAGTAAAGTTTGAAAAGCCTTCTTTACAGTTTATTTTTCTTGGGATTCAGCTAATGTTAGATAGTACTTGAAAATTTTCTATTGTTATTTGTATTTCATCTAATGCATTATTCATCAATATTCCTTTTTCAACTCATATTTGTTTAACAATTCATTTACCAATATCTAAAAAAAACAGTGTATTGGATCAATAATCAAATATCAAATAAGATCAAAATAAGGTAAGAAAGAAGCTCAGACTATCTAGCTAGATTCTTATTGACAAAACACTTTTGTGTTATATTTGTATTGCAATTCTTTTATTTAATAGCATTTTGTATATATGTTGCTGAATCCCTTGATATAAACCATTTATATATTTTTTATGCCATTAAAGTTATATTAATTATTTACGTAGTTAGCTTTTTTTTTACAATGGTAATAAGATACTAGTACCAAAACATGTTTATATACTTTATATACTACAGGAATATTACATGAAACTAAAATTAAAGTCACTCAAATTATTCTTTCTTTCTTATTTTTAGCAGTTAATTCTAATATTATTTCTTGTTATAATTATAGCAATTCATCAACAATTGGTACAAGATAGTGATTTATTTTATATAAGCTTGGTTTACTGAAATCTGATAATATATCAAGAATTAGTATATTTTTATGCTTAAAGTATATATCACATGGAAAATTGGCAATAGCTGCATATAATGTCAGTACTATACATTTTGTTATCATATGATTGAAACCAATCAATATTCAATACCAATCTTAAATACAAATTAGCTGTTTCTTTATATAATATTTAATATGTGGGATCATTATAATGTTAGGATTAATAAAGAAAAACTTTATTAAATATGAAAGAAACCAAACAACTTTGTTATTTCCCAAAGGAAAAAGTGTTTCCTTATATAGTCCACCCTCGTTAATAGCACATCGATGGTTCCAGGATTTTTTGGTGCTAATAACGAATTGTTCTATTAACGAATTAATGACATCATATATGCACCAAACACGTAATTTATTTATAAATTAACTATCAATCACGATAATAGTTGCAAGAACATTGATGCCGTTGTTGAGCACCAGAACACCACCAATCAAAGTCCAAATATAAGAAAAGGAATGCCTTTAGAGTTAGAAGACGAAGCTGAGCAATCGCCTGAGCTAAAATAAACCACCTATAGTCGCAAACACAGTACCGATGCATGATAGACAAGATAATATATTGTGAAGATGTCAGCCGTAAAGGAAATAATAGAGATAGTGATATGAATAACTTACCTAAAAACTTCACCATAAGAATGAGCTAGTATCCAACAGAATAGGACTTTATGTTTTAATGTGTTTTTTTTGCAAGCAAGGATCACATTCATATTAACATTTTGTATGCTCTTTACTTCCTGAAATCTCATGTGTTTCTTTCGCATAATTCCTACTTCTTGAAAGAAATAAAGATAGTATTATTACACATTTTGTGTACTTCTCTTATTATGCAGAATCTCGACAAGACATACATAACACATCTCTGGTTGAAAAGTCACTGACGCTATCGAAAAAATCCAAAGAGACACCTGTAGAAGAAGGAATGAAAGATATCAGCATGGATAAGGGACCCGATGATAAATAACGTAATGTGATACTGGAAGCAAAGAATGAAGACATCTGTATACTGTCGTGAGCTATCCGGAAACCCACAGTACTATTCGTCACGGTTAGTTATAATAAGATAAGTCTTTAACTCTTGAGGCATGTTTCCGATTTGGCCGTTCTCTCACTTTAACTTCTCTACCGACTAGCCTAGAACCCTCTCTATGCCAATTCCCTTA